TTGCCCATGGAGCTTTGACCTGTCTCTTAGGAGCCTTGACCTGGTGTTCGCTGGCCTGTAGGGGTTCACTGCCTCAAAGAAGACAGGGAGACTGAACGGTGGCTCTAACAGACACAATATGAAACCAGACCCAGATGCAAGATTCAGTCTTCACAAACTGCCTCAGCCAAGCTTCAGTTGTACTCAGAAGAGTTCCCAAGTGGGAATTTCTGTGATTTGTTGAAAAACAAAGTCTCTCTAAGCAATAACTTCAATTTAACTTAATAATTTAACTTAAGGAGAAGTTCAGGTTAGATATAAGGAAGAAGTTCTTTACAGTGAGGGTGGTGAGGCACAAGAATGTCTACTTCTAGATGTTGCCCAAGGAAGTTGTGAATGCTCCATCCCTGGCAGTGTTCAAGGCCAGGTCGGATAGAGTTTTGGATGGTTTAGCATGTGGTGTCCCTACCCGTGGCAAGGGGGTTGGAACTAGATGATCTTAACGTACTTTCCAACCCTAACTATTCTATGATTCTATATAGCATCATGCTGATTTCTAAGAAGTATGATTCTATGGAATTGTGTATAAAAGTATCTAATGCCCAATGGAGAACTCATTTTGATGGAAATCAGAGTAAACAATCCAAAGTACCTCAACCTTGACTTTCTTTCACCTGCTGCTATGTTGCTATGGCAAATCTTCAGCTCCTGCTCCTCCTGGCTCAATAAAAAATGGACCAGAACACACTCATTTTTAACACATAATGGTTTTTGTTTGTACAGCACACATCTATCAAAGCTATGAAATGCTTAGCACTAATTCCAGCTAGAAGACAGAAATGCAGTGGACTAGCAGGCAGCTGTTTGCACTGTGCGGTGTTTATAATTCGCGCAGCATGGGCTGGAACAAAGAGATTGATCTTAAACTTCTTCATCTTATTGGGAAGAGGCTCTGCCCTTGGTTACAATTCCCACTGCAGCGTTCTCCCCTGGACAGTTGGTGGAGAGGCAGCTGCAAACCCACTTCTTCTGAATTTACAACTGGATCCTGCCCTGTCCCAGCTCTGATTTCCAACCCCACCTCTATGGCCAACTGTACAATTGGCATTGAGCTGACATACTTGAAAGTAGAGGTGAAGCTGAAATATCTGCATTTCAGTAAGTTCAACCAGTCCCGTTATACAGGGCAACAAGTAGCCATCCCTGGCAGTGTTCAAGGCCAGGCCGGACGGAATCTTGGGTGACATGGTCTAGTGTGAGGTGTCCCTGCCCATGGCAGGGGGTTGGAACTACATGATCTTAAGGTCCTTTCCAACTCTAACTACTCTATGATTAGGTGGAATGATGTTTGGCCACTGATGGTATTGAACAGTGACAATGAAAAGGCTGGTGTGTGTGTGAAGCTTTTGAGTTGTTTCTGCAGAGTGATACACCTTCCCATTGGCTGTTTGTGGCTTTTGATAGTTGGTATTTTTAATTATAGATGTTATTTCAGAAACTGTCGTGTTTGAATGAAGACTAAAAGGTGCTGTGGCTGTTTATTTGAAGTTTATCTAGTTATTTTTCGTCTGTGCATCAAGAACAGACTGAAAGAAGGCAGTTCTTGGATGCCAGATGATTCCTGAAAGCCTTTTCTTTGTACATCTAGTAGCAATTACTGAAGTGTCTACTTATACCCTCGGAAATCTTGCACTGGTACTTTCAGCTCAGAAGGAATCTAGTAAATCCATAGGAAAAACCCTTCACCATGCTTAAGCTCTCTGCCTCCTCTGGAGCTTGGCAATTTTATACTAAAGTTTCAATGGCTGCTCACTTCACCAAACTTTTTAAAGGACTGTACTTCTCTGATGCTTAACTCTTCAGACGACTCTCATGTTCCATAGCCTGTGGTTAAAGAACATGATCTGACATTTCCTAAGAGTACCAACAGTAACCACATATAGCCTGAAAAATTTGACTATGGATCTGGACCATAGGACAAAGCAGAGCATGCAGCTATTTCAAGACAAACAAATATATAATATTACAAAAGCAGATTTTAAAAACCTTGAGTCAAAAAAATTAAAAGGAAGATACGAATTTGCATAAGAAACACTAAAAAACCCCTATCTATGTATATAGCACAGTGATGGGTTTACTTTCCTCATTAATCATGAGCTCATGGCTGAATTCTAATGAATTAAAAAGAATAATAGCAAAAAATTTTTTAGCCTTTCATTTCAGTTGTTGAATTCAAATTAAGTTCATTCACCTTCAACAACAAGTAAATAATACATTTTGCCATGTTTCATATCTATTCTCTCACTTTCTGCTTTTCTTTCTGTATTTCTTTTCCTCAACAGAAAGACTTAATGACAAAGAGGATAAGGGCTCCCAACAGAGTTAACAGCATTTCCTACTGCTCTATCCTCCCCTGAAGTCTCATACTTCGTCTTTAGTGTCATGGGCTTTCTGATAACATCCCAAATAGAGATACAGGGTTGGTGATACACAAAAGGAACAGGTAGTACTGAAAAAAACCATTTTCAGGAAATTCCTGGGAAATATTCCAGGAGGCATCAGAAATAGAGACTGGGATAAAGAAAGAAAAAGATTATAAAAACCAGGAACACCAGACTTTGTACAGATAAAAGATCATATCAAAGAGCTACACAGTTTCTTCTGAACAAGTAATTCTTGATCACCTTCCTGTGCTTGTATACACTGGTTAAGGGTGACTCCTAATTGCTTTCAGCCAACTACTTCTAGTCCTACATTCGACCCGTTATCCCCCTATTAAATTTTATCTCACTTCATTTGATATAACTCCTTTTATATATCTCAATTAAAAATGTTATGCTATTTAAGTAGTGGCTGGATGGGAAAATCACTGGCTGTAAGAGAATCCTGCATCCAACGAACCCTGCATCCACTAGCAAATCTGTTTATAGAGCTTTGCTTTTCCTCACCCTTTTTTCTGTTGGCTTTTCTATGAGCAGATAATGACTCCAATTTTCAACCATTACAACCTATATGGACCTTATTTATTTCCTTATGCTGCCTAGAGCATACTTATTTACTTTGATTAAGATCCCTGGCTAAAAAATCCCTATGCTTGTACTCAGTGAAGCAAAATCACTACATCCCCAAGAAAGGAAAACAGCAAACTTGAATCATAAACTTGGCATTAAAGCTACAGATTTGCAACATATGGTAGTATGCCTCTAGTCTTCTTGCACATGCTGACCAAAATAATCCATTGAAACAGAAATGTCCTGAGTTGTAAGAATATAACAACAACAACGCTAAATGCCAGACTTTCTACACGGGTCCCTGGCTGCAAAGAGTTTATTCGTAAAGAGAAAACTTCAGTCTCTGAACCCACATTTCTTTTTCCCTTAGTGCCTAACGTAGACATAAGTTACCTTTGTAATTAGTGTATTATGATTTGAACTACCAGTGCCTAGCACAATGCTGCAGGTGCTGCTGTACTACAAACACATTGTAATAGTATGTAAAATACAGAGCTGCTCAAACAGACATCTCAGAGTTAGAAACAGCCAATTGTGTGGGTTTGACTGCAAAAAATTTATGCTAACAGAAGTGACTGAGGCTTTTGAGGTTTTCTGCTTGAGAGATTTGGGGCATTTTTTTGGTATGACTTTGGAATAAAAGAACAGGTTTTGCATTTATGGTTTGGGAAGTGATATTTAGATATGCAGCTAAGACATCAAAGATTCCTGCAGTGAAGCACCAGGGCGTATCAGCCTGGTGAGACAGACCACATCCAGAATTCATGAACTAGTAGTAGAAAACTAGGCTCATAAGTGCACACAGAGCAATACAGTATTCAAGAACTAGGCTGCTCCAGAGGCAGCACAGATGTATTAGCTTGGCTCAGTATGCAAGCTAATAAGCCTCAATTCTCAGCAGGGCTTACCAGGTTGAGGCTGTTACAGGGGTAATTGAGCAGCTCAAACCAGTGAGTTGTTCAAGATCCTGTGTTAGCCCTTTAGGTGTACACCTGAATTGACTTGTGGTTGCTGGCTTGGACTTCCTGCACCATTGCTCCCCATATTTTGGGTTCCTGGCTTACCTCAAGCAAAATAAGCTTGGATATATCCCTACATATCCAATGACTGTAGCTTGTCATAAAATGCAAATTCAAGCCAAAGCTTGACAACAACATCACTCTGTGTTACATCTGTAAAAAACCTGCAGGTGGAATAGCTCCAGAGCCAGAGAGGTCAGAGAAGGTTAGAGATGCATCAAAACTCTTAAGATTTCCAACCTGACCAATGAAATGCTGAGCATGGGGGGAAAAACAAAAATGAAAAGCCGAAAGAAGCATAATTGTTAAGATTATTAGAATATTTGGCACAGAGTCCCATAGATCTCCTTGAGTCCCAAAAGGCATGAGCAACAGCAAGAACTTTGTTAGAAGCAACTGGGCAGTTGCTATGTTATTTACTACTCCACTTTAGCTCCATAGATCAGCTTGTTTAGCACCTCATCTGCATATTTGATCTTGCTAGGTAGATAGTAAATTCTTTGTAGCATAGACTGATAGCAGTATAAAGAAATGCAGGGGGGTAGGAGTAGATTGCCACGCACTTAGAATATCATCTAATAGCCCTTGCTTTGTTAGAACAAGGTCTTGGGAAAGAAGTGCTCTTTATGAGAATGATCAGTCCCTGTCTGGGCAAGACCTCACACACAAATGCAATGCGTCACTACACCACAATATCCATCACAAATATCAAAGAAGCTGACGACTGGTAAGAAATCTTCATCTCATAAAACCAAATCTCTATAAAAGTATAATGCTCTTTGAAAATGGCTTGAAATGATCGGATTAAGCAACAGGACTTTATCAATTTTCACGTTAATGATGCTGTGCTTGTAAGACTGATGCATTTCTCAGTTCAATTCAGTGCAGTTCCTCAAACTTCTTTCCCACTTTGCCAAACCCACAAAACCTAAGTCAGGCATAGATAAGGTAGCTGCCACCCTATTCCCAAGAGGAATCTCTCCCTGCTTACCTGACGTACAGTGACCTCTTCTGATTAGTCCTCAGGGAGCCGGACCCAGAACTCATGCTGTGATTCATCATCTGCTCACGCAGGTCATGGATTTTTGCCTCAAACCGAGCGTACTCTAAGGAGATAAAAAAACCCAGACAATACAGATATTTTAGTTTTCTTGACCTATATAATCATTAGGACTGCTAAATGCAAATTAGTATTAAATTAATGAGTGTAAGGCATGTCCTGAAAATTGAGGTCTAATAGAACCTCGCATTAATATATTATTTTAGGTAAATATGTGCCCTATTTATTGTGGTACCCGAACATTTCTGCACTGACTGTGTGAAAATTCAAGTAGTTACACTCTCCCTCCTGCAGTTTCAGCAAATGAAAGGAGGTTTAAAGCGTGTTACCAGGTATCTTTCAGCCTGCAAAAAGCATGTTGAAAGCAGTTTTGCACTATATAATTCCTCCTTCCAAGCAATGAGGTACCTTGTTGGGGGCAGTGGGATGATGCACTGAAGTTACTAATGACTCAAGCATTTAGTGTAAAATCTCGCTGAACTAAAGGAGATATATCGAAGTCTAATTATCCTCGAAGCAGCTGTGAAATTGTTGTATGAGCAATAAGCCACCTATTTACCCAGCCCACTGAGGATTGGGCTCTGTTCCCAGAACGTCTAGATGCTTTGCAACAACAACTAATGCATTTTATTCAGTGCCCTTTAACTTTTCATTGGATAATAACATCTGACCTTTCAAAGATCCCACATTTTGCATGGACACTAGCTACCTTCAAGCTGGCTTAGCAGAGTGATTTGATTTGGGCTTTTTTGTTTGGTTCTTTTTTGCCCTTCTTCTTCTTACTAGTGCATTTTAACTCCTTCCATTGAGCTTCGCTGGCATTACCTACTGAGTTTGTTAAGTGGCTACATTGCCAATCAGCTGGGAACCTCTGCTGTGGTATCAGACTCTTCAGTCTTCCCACATACCTATGACTTCACCAACTGCAGCTGAAATTCTGTATGTCAGGAGAAGAGACACTCCTACATGCAAACTGTATTTCAGATTTATTCTGTAGCTTGTTTCTTGCCCATTTCCTTCACCTAGAGAATAGCTTTAAACTTCCCAGTGATTTAAAGGCCAAAATTCTCAGTGTAACTAAGACTCCTACAAACCTATGTTTTTTAAAGTGGAGTTTAGTTTTGAAGTATTTATCCCAGTGTAGTATTTAAGTTTGCTGTATGAGTCATACTTATTCCACTCCAGAATTTATTTAGTAAATATTCATCTTCTGAGCAAGGCTTTGTTGAATTTGTATTTCATTAAAATAAATCTAACATTTCTTCTGGGCAAATAGGGAAGGTGATCTTAAAACCAAAAAGCTTCCATTTCTCTTCCTCGTACAGTGTCAGTCATCTGCATGCAGACAGAATACTACAATTTTAAGGGTTGTTACTAGGTCTCTTTCGTGTGTGGTAGATACACTGAAGAAGACAGAAAACATACAGCTTAATTCAGCTGCTTTGACGTCTTACATCTGGGCAAGGCCAAGGAAAGGAATGATTTACATCAGAGCAGCTGTAATAGCAGCTTTGCCTTTAATAAGCAACCATATCCCAGGCTGGCTCTGTATCTGAGGTGTGGGAGTAACTCCCAGATTTAGACATCAATCTGGAAAGCGAGAAGAGAGGATTGAAAATCTGACTTTCTCTAGCACAGCATCCAGCTATTTGCAACCCGAACACCAGCTCATGAGATACTTGAATAACTACAGGTTGGTCAGATGATGGTACTCTAACTTGTGTTCTGACTTCAGAGCACACTTGTGGTTGAACTGACTTTAACTGACTGTGGATTTATTCTGTATTTAATAATCTCTCTCTTCCTGGAAGACATTTTGAAACCACAACATGTCTTTAAAATTGTCTAATAAGTGTGTGAGGGAAGTTCAGGGTTCAAGCTCTTGCTCCCTGCTTGATATTAATAAATACTGAATGACAGCTCTGCTAATTCATGTTATTGAGGTGTTTTTTCCTTTGGATTGAAATACATACATAATTTGAAGATAACAAAATTTATGGGTCTATATTTCTCACAGTACCTTCCTCATATTTATGCATCAAAAAATACTGAAGTGTATGCCTGTATCTTCCTCCTGATAAATATCCGGACTGAAAATTGCAAGGCCATCCATGCAGGCAGTATTTAACCCAGCTCAGATCAGCTTCTGTAATCTCGGTTGTCCTAGTTCTCCCACTGCTACCTAGATACTACAGTAATGGTTGCATTTGACATGTGAACTGAAAAAGGAAGAGTGCTGCTCCATTTCTGCCATCACAACTGCTACAGTAGTGCTGCCCTCTGAGAAAAAGTCCTTTTTCCTAACACTTCTTTCTACATGGGGTCATTCCAGAGGACCTGTTTGCTAATAGCTTTGCATTTGCCAGGTGAGAATAAGCGGCAGTGCTAAAGTCCAGAAAAACACTTCCTTCAAATTCAGCACTGAATCTAAGCACCACACTTTCAAGGCTTCTACACAATTAAAAGGACGCTGAGGTTGTGACATGCTGACAAGAAATACAGTTAAAGCTGATTCACTAATTTCATGCCCTTTAAAGAAAGGCAGAACAAAGAACCTGTTGCTGCTGGAGTTCATCATTAGTGAAATTTGCCGAATTTGACTTATCAAAATCCATCTGCAAAGGTCCTACCCGTTGCCTGATTCACTAATGATCTAACAAACTCTGGTAGCTTAAAGAACTGATAAAGTTGTGCATTAGACCAAAAGGGCAAATGCGTGAGCAAACTGTAACCTATGTTATTGCTGGAGTCAGACCGGATCATAGAATGGTTTGCCCTGGCTGTGGCTCTGGAAATGCTGCTGTAAGAACAAGGGCAAAGATGAAGGGAAGTGAGTGTTCATGTTCCTCTTTAGAGCTGGCTCAGTTCTCACGGCAGTGTAGGTAGACCTGAATTTAGCTGTCCCAAGGATAGAGATACAACTCACTAACCCTGGAGCGGTCGAGCTAGTGCCATTGGATGTGTGAAGGAGATTGCTGCTGTGAGGAATGGCCAAGCTGAAGGGACAGCAAGACCATTGGTCGGGGCTCTGGCACTGGCCTGTTGGGCTCTGCATGCTGTCCTAAGCAAATGCCCACTTTTCCAAGGGTTTGTTTTCTAAAGTTGGCTCTGCTCAACTCTCTGGGCAGTCAGAAGAGAAGAGTCAGCTTGAATTACTGCAGTGTGAATTATCCCCAGGCTCAGCCAAGGCCCAAACTGAGTGTATTTATCAAATACAGACACCAGTAACAAAACAGAAGGAAAAATAGCAACTCCCTGGCCACACATTCAGGCTAATGAGTCCAGTAAAAACCATTTTTACTGCTGAAGTGATTTAGATACGAAAAATCCTGCAACACCTTCTGCAAGTGGGTACCTACATAGTGGAAAGGGGTTGTTTTAACACACGTATCCCCCCTCCTTTGAGTTTCCTGTTGACTATTTTTGATGGCCCATGATCTGGAGTTGTTGTCAGTCCGAGTACTGAACATCTAAGTCTCTCCACATGCTGTGAAGAAAAATATCATAAGTTTGTGAGATCCATGGTGGATGCATTAAGGACAGTTGGGATGGATGTTGCTGTGATCTAAATCCTTGCATATACACAGAGCAAAGACTTTTCCAATTAAAATAAGCAGTATATTGAAATTTTAGGTTCAGATTCTCCAAGTCACTTTAGAAATGTCCGATGGAAACTAGACTATGACACTTGAACATACAAGAAAACTCTTGGAAATACTAGATGCATTTGAGAGACAAAAAATGTATGAGAAAGTATGAGAAAAAAAAAGAGAAAGTAAACCTCAAAAAAGTTTTAGAAAATCACAGTGAAAATCAAGTTATTTCTAAATCGAAAAATAACAAAGACTGAGATTTTATATCTGAAGGCTTGCTGTACTTTTTTGTCACATAAGTTAAGAATAGCTGTGATAGATGAAGAAATACACTGCAGCTTTTCTATAAGAAAGAGTTAAAGAATTTTACAAAGCTACGTTACTGTTATTTTTCACTTTTAACTTGATAATAAAGAATTTAGCTTTGACTGAATTCAGAGAACACGATGACCAAAAACCCCGGATCCTACAAGGAAAGTATAGTTAAGCAACTGAAATGTTGATGTATTATATAGCACTTCAGCATCAAGGCCAGGTCTTTACTAATTTGAAAGCTTTTAGTGCTGGCACCTTTAGAGAGATAGCAATTCTTTGTGTCAGCAGGTATCAAAATTCACTTTCCAGTGTAATTCAAGATCATGACTGTTTGATTCTAATTGATAGTAGATTTCCTGAAAAGTAGAAACTCAAAGTGGAAAGTACAACTTGAACTGTCCATTTTTAACAGGCTACACTGCTTAAAAACCAAACCAAAATCAAAAAGACTAGGCAGGCATTAGTTAAGAGACAGAATTTTATCCCTTCGAAAAGGGTATGTCAAATAACTCTAGACACTGTAATAAATGAATAGCTGCCAGACCAGACTCTCCATCAGTAGCAATCTGGCATAATTTCAGTGGACCCAGGCCAGCTTAAACCTTCTGAGTTTTTCTTCTGTTTATAGGAACACAAATTGTATTCCATTACTGCAAGTCATGAACTTACCGCCTTGGACATCTGAGATAGCAATGTGCGTGATACTGTTATTATGGTAACATTATATATGCTATTTATATATATATTATTTTTTTTCCCTCTGCCTCCTCTCAGCAGATGTCTTGGCTCAATGCTTTGTTTTAGAATAACAGCAGAACACATTTCTTCCTGCAATGAGTGCTTTCCACTTCTGCCCTTTGCCCACAGTTTTGTCCAGTCACTACTGTTTTATGCATGAAGGTGAGAGGAAGGTGAGCAGACCAGCACCAAGGCTGGGTCTGATTCTTGCTTTTCCACACATTTACTGTGGGAACTTAGGTGCCGTAGTGTGATGAGACCTACTCTTTGTGACTCACACAGTAAATCCGTGACATGGGCGCTAGATTACTGCCAGGTGCTTAGCATCCCACAGCTCTAGAAGCTATTGAAACTATTGCAATACACATAAAAAGCAAAAGAAAAAGACACGAACTGCTAA